TGTAGTGTGACAGCACTGTAAATAAATCATCACTTCCCTGCAAACACAGGCTGTGTGTGCGTGTGTGTGTGTGTGTTGTGATGGGGTCCATAACCCACTGGTGTTGTATAAATATATAAATATATCTGGATAAATATATCCAGTATAACATACTCACATTTATATACCACTTTTCAAAGTCCTACCATTGAAAGAAACTTTAGAGTACAACTCACATTTTCGCCACGCATTCATACAGCTCTGTGCTATACTTTACTTAATGCTATATATTTCAATCACTGTGCCACATATCCAGCATCAATTTAGAATAGCCCGTTAAATTGATATGCATCTTAACTGCAAGAGGAAGCCAGCAGGTAGAACATTCAACCTCACTAAAAAAAGGCCCAAAACAGGACTTTCTTGCTATGAGGCTACAGTGCTAAGCACACCACCACCCCATCATGCAGTAGCAAAAGAAAAAAGAAAAGAAACAAATTTCTCCAGAATTTAATGTAGGTTCTAAACAGCTTTCTGATTTGAAAACTGCATTAAGAATAGTGAGAATAGCTGTTCTGCTATGAGAATTGTGAAAAAGTGATTGAGAAAAATTGCAATTGCTGAGGGCCTCATCTATGTTAAGCAAGTACATCGTCTAAACACCCAAGATTTGCAGCACTGTTTGGGACACATTAATGCCTTTATGGTTCTTTGCTATAAAATATAGTATGGATTTTTTTTCTCCTTGTTATCTATTCACTTTTTTTTTTACATTATTCAGATGGGAGTAGTATTGGCTGAAGTTATCTAGGCCCTTAATCCAATGTGAATCTGCCAATTCTGTTATCTGTAAAAGTGAAAATGTAAAAATTATTTCCCTGCCATACCATGATGCTGCTCTTTCCTCTCACGGGTGTAGAATTCTTATTATGATGACAGCAGTGGAAATTATTAATAAAATGCTTTGATATCATTCTGGAGGCATTTTCAGAAATCTCATCAAGCTATTCTCTTTCATTCAGACATGAAGCTTTGTATTTGGACCATCCGTGTGGTTCAGTCTGAATTACTTTGATTATCACACAGATGGAACAGACAGTTGAGGAAATTCTAGAGGTGTTCGGGTTCTGCAAGTTTAACTGCTTCTAACTCCCTGATCATTCACTGTATATTGATTCATCACTGTATATTGATTCACTAAGTACTGAATCATAGGCAGATTAAATAACAGGATAATCAGTTCCAGGGTATACATATGAATTAAACTGTTTAGCAATTACTAGTACTAGTACAGACTCACCGAAATTGGACAATTGAAGATTGAAAATATAAAAAAACCCCACTGTATGGGGCCAGTAGAGTATCTTTTGGATGTGGTCGAACGGTAAATATGGATGAACACCTCACAAATCTGCAGCAGCTGTGTGATGCTATTATATCAATATGGACCAAAATCTCTGAGGAGAGTTTCCAGCATCCTGGAGAGTGCCTTAATAGACTGAATGTAATCGATTAAGGCAGTTCTGAAAGCAAAAATTGTACCCATAGGCCACACACACACACACACACACACACACACACACACACACACACTCCAGATCTGTTGTAGGGTAAAATAACTGCCAAAGATGAATCTGAAAGCTGCTATTTAGTCTGTAATACAACTGGAACAGTAACTATGATCTGTGGCTACAGTCTGTGAGTTCACGTGCATCTCTAAACCCCCCATCACACCAAAATAGGTCACTGTGATAACAAGCTATTTATTTACATTGGCATTTATTAATGTCTCACCTATATAGGGTAGATGATATTATTATCTTAAAAAGGCTGCATGAATACAGCTGCACTGCGGTCTGTGGGTCGCTGTAAACACTCAAAAGCGCTAATTCCAACCACAATCATAAAACACAAACCCTTTAGAGTTAGATTTTGTATCCAAAATCAGTCTGGGTTCCAAAATCTAACCACTATGTTATTATTATTTTAGTACTGCAAATTAAACAAAGAACTGCAAGCCCTTTCACAGACCCAGGACTGACAGTTTTTTTTGTAAATATTGTATGATTGAAGCATGAAATTATGTGACAAGCAGTTTGTAGCACTTTATTACCATTTAGTGTAGGCAAAAATGTGTAATTTTGGTAATGTGTAATCTTAACTTGGCACTGATTTTCTGGCTGACTAGGTGGTGATATGAGATTAAGATAAGGAATGTGGTTCATGCGACTAACCTCACAGTTAAGCACTGCAGAAAAATTGGTGCCGTTGTGCAGCTGTAGCCCTATGAATCTGTATTTCCCGCCTACATTAATGAAATAGTTTTCAGTGCAGCACATACTGTAAGTTCAAACAATAGAAAGTGTCATGTCTTTACTTATTTGACACAGCATGCTCATTGACACTAGCTCATAAACGAGGTCTCAAGCTGATAAATGTGAGTAGGAGGGATAACATTAAGATGAAACTCAGAAAGCTACAGAGTGATGCCGATGAATCTTTACCAATTAACTGTATCTTGATGCATTCATGTGGGTGTTGGAAATGTTAATCATGAAGTCTGGAGTTTGTCAGTGGAGTGTTCCCTTATATCTGTGTTTGTAGCAGTTTGACACCAACAGAGTTGTGGGCTTTTTCCTCACATACACTAATGTGCAGTGTGATTTTTTTTTTTAACAAGATAGCATTAAACCAGACGAAACGTTTAAGTTATGTAAAGGTTAACGCTATGGCTAATAATTATTAAGTACACTGTCAGTGTTGTGAAAACTTTGCATGCTCCCCAACTATCAATCATCATCTCATTTATAATCTACCTCAATTTATAATCTTTTAATCATTTCTTGTCTGGGTAAAACTCCCAGTCGATAAATATGTATGGAAGATTTCCCTCAAGATGTTGGCTGATAGGACTGGACTGGCAAATCAGAGATCTAATCCCAACGCTAAAATTGCTTTTAGTAATTTTGTTGATGAAACCTGCCTATCATTGTTATCATTTTGCTGATTAATGTCAAGATTAAAAACTCACAAATTATAGTAAATTCACCCCCATTACAGTTATGCAGCAGGAAATTAGCTATAGGGACTAAATCTTCTTGTTTTTTATACCAGTAGGTAAACAAACATTTTAAAATGGCAGTATATGGGAGAATATCTAAAAAAGCACAGGAGGAAAATCTATTTCATAAGTGATAGAGAGAGGCAATTTTTTCACCATAGTGCAGTTTCTAAAGCTCACACACACATGTGTGCACATGTCTCAGTGTTATGATCCTAGAACCCGCCATGCCCCTAGGTGATTTATAATGTGATTTCCTGCTGTATACACCAGCAACTTGTTAATCATGAGTTGAACAGGTTATTTACCAATTTCATAATTCAGTTTTTCATTTTGTGCTCAGAAGTGACTCTGATGCATAGAGTAAGGAGTGACATGCATGTTTATGTGTCGCACAGACATTACGGCGATCAATCATTTTTTCATCACTCCAGCGCTCTTATTATTCTGTACAGACATCATGCGGCATTAACAATCAAAGATTTTTTCACATACAAAATCTCGGATAATCATAAAGATCTCAGAGTACCATAGTATACATCAGAGTGCAGGGTTATTCTTGGCTCCTAATTTTTAGGCAGAGCCTTCACCTACCAGAGCCCACTGGTCTTAAACTAGCTCGCAGTCTGAGCTGAGACAGACACTAACTTTTAAAGCTTATAGTTAGGGCAGGATTGTGGGATTCTGATCCAGTTTTGATCCAATAGGCTGCTGGAGTTCTTCCCATTAGGCACTGATGGTACAGATCAAAGCACAAGGGTCCCCCTGATTCTGCCAGAGACTTCTTCCTGTTTAAAGGGAGTTTTTATTTCTCACTATCACAAAGTGCTTCCACATAAGTGGCGATCTGATTGTTGGTATTTCTTTCTAGTATTGTAAGGGCTCTACACTGCAGTTAAAAGTCCCTCGATGTGACTGTTCTTGTGAATTCTTGTGAGTTGAATGCTCCTTTTTATATACAAAAAAATCACTGACTGTGAATTCCTAGCTGTTAAGAGATATATTCTAAAACACTTCTTCAGCAGAGAATCAGAGAGGAGAAACACACAGATTTTCATGCTAGCAAGGGCAGCCTCCAGAGCTCACACACCAAGAGTGAGGCTCCAAGATTCGCAAATGAGAGACTGCCCCGGTCTTTATTTATACTTCAGTGGGTGCTTGCGTGGTGTGTGTGGTGTGTGTGTGTGTGTGTGTGTATGTGAGAGAGTGTGACCCCACTACCCTTAACCTGCTGGTCTGGAAAGTCCAACAGTTCATCTATATGTAAAAAGGCATTTAGACTAAAACTGACATAGCTACGTTAATCCTACCGTAAAACAATAAGACAAGGTACGACCTTTCCCATGCTCCTAGGATGTGGGGGTGCATGCCAGAACACCCTGGAAAGTACACACCGTTGTTACAGACTTCCTAGGATGAGACATTCTTTCAATATACCACCAACTATATACTTCTAAACACAAATGATTACATGCAGTATTCTACCATATGCAAACTTATATAATTAAAAGATTATACTGACTACTAAGTACAACTTTCCATTGACACTAGCAGTGGTATATTTAAGTGTGAATGCGCAGACAGAAAGATTAAGCCGTCATTGGAAGTGGCAAAAATGCAGCACCTATTCCTCTGTTTTGCAAGTTGAGGTGGCTTTAAAAGTGAATCTCTATGAACTCTATACAAATGTGTGGTTGCGGTTGTAGCTGAAAATTGAGCCAATGGAGAAGTGACTCAAATCTAAATTCTGTCAAACAACCAGAAGTGGTGCAACTTCTTTAATTAAAGATGTTTAGTTGTATAGACGTCTACACTGTAAAATGTAATATTGTGTTTAATTAAAAATATTAAATAGGCTGAACTCAGTTTTTATCAATTTGTTATTACAACTCGATTTAAATAAGTTACCAGTACATTTTATGCAAAAACGGATGGAAGGATGAAAGATGTGTTTTGAAAATGCCCCGTCACTACCATCCTCCTCCCTCTCGGATCAGTCCGCATGTTCATGGTGCCAGCATTTGTTATGGAATATGTTGAGCAAACCTGGAAAAGCGTCAGCTCAAGATATTATTGTTGTCATTGCTGTGAATCTTTACCTGATACACTGACTTGGTGAGTAAATGTTTACTCTTATTCAAACTGATTTTGTGGCTTCTCTTAGTTTAGCACCAGGTTTATAATCTTGCCAGCTAGTTAGTGTTAGCCTAGCGTTGCTGCTGCGGCTGGGCTCATGTTACTTAAAAATTAACACCACAGCCTTAAAAACCTTATATAAAATATGTCTGTGAAATGTTCTGTTGATTGTTTGAAATAAAAAAGTGAGATAAGAGCCCAGACAAAATTCTTTGGGAGGTGCTTAGGGGTGGGGTGGGGTGTGGGGGGTATTTTCAATCCATAGCCATAACTAACTAACTAACTAACTAATCATATATATATATATATCATGTTTAACCTGAGTAGCAAAAGACCGTGGGGGGGTTGAAAACAATATGCCAGGAGTTAGCTGTGCTTGCGGACTCTTATCAAGCCTTGACCTCCCGGTCAGCTATTGCGCTGGTGGATAACAGAGCTCTCCAAAAACGTGGAAGCACTTTTGCAAATATGTGATATTTTGATAAATTAAGTAGATATTTGAGCATTACACAGCTACATTCTCGCCTGAAAATATCTTAAAAGGTTATTTTGTGACCCAGAAAGGGTAGTCTGGGGAAAAGGAGGATCGCATTTGTCGGCCACGGTTGTCGGAGCCTGTGCCTACTTGTAAGTGCGGCAATGGGAGCGCGGCTAAAAAACTTATTACTTTTTCTGGGTCACAAAATAAGCTTTTAAGATATTTTCAGGCGAGAATGTAGCTGTGTAAAGTTCAAATATCTGTTAGATTTATCAAGACATCACATATTTGCAAAAATGCTCAGACGTTTTCGGAGACATCCATTTTTTTCATGCTTTGTGGCAGCTTTTGAATATCTGTGACATCTATTAATGTCAAATCTAGCCTTTATTTAACAAATAAGCAAACTCTATGTTACAATGATTGCACAGCCATTAAGGATCAAATCAGTTTCTGAAAAATGTTCTGCTTTTTCTCCCTCTGCTTGCTTCTTACTATCTTTGAGGCTCGGGACCAGCACTCCTGCTGTTGGACAGAAAGACATCAGTAAGTATTTTGGTTTACCAATATATTAGCAACTGTCAGTGACATTTATATTAATCAGGCTGAACTTTAATCATACTTTAGATCAGCCTGTTTTACTTATTGTTTTATTTTTGCTTTGGTTTGGGGAAGTTGTTTCTTTACTGATCTTTTCCTGTCTTCTGTTATTAGACTTGAGATATGACTGCACTATGCTGTTGCTGGTGACTCCAGTTAATTCTACAAGACATGCTGTGTAAGTAAACAAACAACAACTGCATTTCTTGAAAGATCACATCCCCCAAGCTTAGTTTAGAGGGTCTACACTGTATATAGTGAAGTCTGCAAGTTTTCTAACAGCAAAATTTGTTTTGTGC